TGTTTTAGAGGATTTGTTGTTTTTATGTGAGACTGAAATCAACAAACTTGATAAAAGTATTTAACTGCTATTCAGAAGTTTATAATCTTGGGCAACTGAATTTATTTCAGAAACTTACTCTTTTTCATTAGTAGTCATAGAAACCAACTAGTTTCTAGTTTCAAGTTCACATCACCTTAATTTACTATCTGAGACAACATATCTGAATTTGTTTAATCTGGCAGGTCAGTAGGTTTCATTTGCGCTTCAGAGATCTTTAAATACTGAACTGTGGTTAACCCATTTATTAGCATAATGGAAAATGGTAATAGTGAAACAAGCCTGGATTCTTAGGCTAGTCTCCTCCCTGCTTGCCCATTTGCTGGGAATTAAGAGATCACTAAAAGCAATTTGGGAATATCCTGGCAAATCTTCATTTCCATTTTTTATATCTGTGCGTTTCAAAGATTTCTAGCTCTTACTCTCTACTTCTTTCTACAAACTAGTAGCCACAGCCTTTTACAGGTTTCTATTGTAATAGCTGAATTTAAATAGCTGTGATCACATGGAAGTTTCTTTATGCAGGAGGATCTGAGAAAAGAAACACTGCACAAGCAGTTTCAGCTGGTGAAGAAGCGCACCAACACCAGCCATGTCATGCAGTATGGAAACAAAGTAGGTATTTGAGCAGGCTTCCTTAAAACCTTCTCTGCCCTATCCATTTTTTCCCTTTAAAACAAAAACAAACAGCAGTCTGGCAAAGTTAATTTAAAAATGAAACTGCTCATCATACACAAATAAACCTGACATCAATCAAGTATAATACAAGTAGTTACCACTTCTAGACATGTGAATATTGACATAATGTTAAGGAAGTATATTGTTCCCTTGAACGAGAGGAGCTGAGAGATGACATGTCATTTATAATAGTCCTATTGTTCAATGTGTTTATAGAAACACACTAATTTTTAAAAACAAACAGGTTATTTAACCTGACAGTTCTTCTGATATTTGGAAATAGAAGTTCCAAGATTTTTGGCAGCCTTAGTCTTATATAGTCAGAAATAAAAATATTTACAAGCCTATGAATTCCTTTTCTAACAGATCAAGTTTGGAGAGTTAGATTTGCACAGCAAAGCAAAGCATTCAACTGGAAGTGCTTGACAGTTTATTTATTTACTTTCTAACTTTCAGAGCATCTCCTCTATGAAAGTGATGCAGTTTCAGGGCACGGGGAAGAAAGCTGTCCCCATTTCTCTGCCACCTGTAGAACACCACGACCTGACTCCTAGTCCTGACGTCCCTCTTGCTATCATGAAACGAAAGCTGATGGCTACCAATGATATGTATGAGGCTAAGAAGATTGCTGCAGAGATGAAGGCACACCTGGAGGTATACAAAACAAAAACAAACAAATCCAACAAACAACAGTAAAACTACACTGTATGCCAGGTCAGATTTCTGTCCATAGTAAGAAGTCACATTCCTGAACCAATGGGATTGTTTCCAGTTTCTACAATTTTTAACAAAATTAGTCTGCAGACTGCTAGCCTCTAGCTGACAACTTACTCTTCCTTTAAAACTTAGGGATTTACTCCCAGAGGCATTTAAAGTAGTGATTATAAAGATAGAGGTAAGCAAGTGCAGAAGTCAGCATCCCACCTTTTATTGCCCAGAAATACCCATTCCCTGTCCATAGGAATTCTTGCTGTCAGGAGTTAGTTTTTGGTATTAGCTAACCTTGTCACAGTAGAAGTGAAGTCTCCCAAATCAAAAAGCTTCTGCAGTAGTGTGATCACTATCAATAATTCATTGTCTTTCTTCTGGCAGAACACCAGAGGGAGAACAAGTTATTTTTGTGCACAAGGAGTCTCTTTCTCCCTAGTTTTCATTTGAGTGTTAAGGTCCAAAATGTTGTACCAAAAGTAGGAGGCAAAACTGATTTCCTTAAAGATTTCAAGAGCTGAGGGCCAAGAGAGATTTAAAGAAAAATTCCATTAAAAGTCTTCAAATTTGGATTAAAAAAAAAAAGCATATTTTAAAGTTTTGTCTTACGCGCAGGCTAAAGAATATATCCAGGAATCCATGCGGAAGATCATCACCTTAATAACAGGATCAACAGAACTGACTAACCAGATCCTGTCAGACAGGCTGACCATCAGCAACTACGACTGCTATCAGGCAGCAGTGAACCACTTCAAAACTCATTGCTTCAACTGGCACTCTCCCTTGGTAAGACAAGCATTAGATATTACCTGATACACGTACCAGTAACACCACCAACTCAAAAGTCATTGTCAAGTCTGCAAAATCAGCTTTTATTAAAAGCTAGCATGGGGACAGGCTTACAGGTTATTTTTAGATGAGTAATGTTTTTGGAAGCAGGAAGCTACTTTCACCACACTTGTAGATGAACATTACTAAAAAGATCTTCAGTAAAAAGCAAACAAAAAGACTAATTTCTACTAGTTAGAACTATCCCTTCATCATCTCCTTTCCCAGAAATCCAAGTATTAAGTAAGTCATGTTGTATTTTTGGTTGAAGCATTACTACTAGAAAAACAGAAACAGCACTATCACTTTGAATTCATAGTATGTTCAGATTTCTGTATTGTAACTGTTGGTTGTACAGTTCTTTTTCATAGCCTACTTGATATACTATCATGGTCTCACTGAAAATCCTCAGAGCTCCTTTTTTCTTAGCTGCTTCATTATTGCCCTTTCTTCCTGAGATCTCACTTAAGGACCAAATTCTGTTGTGTGTATTCTTCTGTTCAGAGAAGAATAACAGAGGGCAGTTCTTGTTCTAGAAAAATCAATCCTGGTGTCAATCAGGCAAGATAACCTAAGCAGACAGAACTCTGTGATGGGGTACATCAGATGGCTGGAGCACCTCCCATATGAGGACAGGCTGAGAGAGCTAGAGCTCTACAGCCTGGAGAGAAGGCTCTACGGGGACCTTACAGCAGCCTTCCAGAACCTGAAGAAGGCCTACAAAAAAGCTGGGGAGGGACTTTTTTCCTAAATGCACGTAGCAACAGGATGAGGGGAAACAGCTTTAAACTGGAAAAGGTTAAATTTAGACTTAACATTAGGAAGAAATTCTTTATTATGGGGGTGGTGAGACGCTGGAACAGATTGTCCAGCACAGCTGTGGGTGCCCTGCCTGCAGGCATTCAAGGTCAGGCTGGATGGGGCTTTCAGCAGCCTGGTCTAGAGGGAGGTGCCCTTACCTACAGCAAGGGGGTTGGAACTAAATGATCTTAAATGTACCTTCCAACCAAAACCTATGATTCTGTGAACATTTATTGATTTTAGCAGAAGTCAATGGAGTTATCTGCCAATTAGACAAGATGTAAGCACTACTGGCAAATCCAAATCAAAGGCACTCTTTCAACTGGAGCTTCTGTTTAGGAAGCTGTTAGGAGGCCATGAAGATTTGTTAAACTTCTAGTTCCTCTTTTGTGCTTTTTAGGGGATTTTTTTTGCTGTTGCTTGGGGTTTGTGTGTGTGTGTGTGTGTGTGTGCGCGCACGCACTGTTATTTGTTTTTTTGTATTGCAAGTGGTTGGATTGGTGAGCCTCGCCTTCAGGCTAGTGTGCAGCAGCAGCTGACTTTACCTAATGAACTTGTAAGAACAAAGTACACAGAAGAGAGATCCATTTAGCCTAGTATTAGATTATTCAGACCAGCAAATAAGTGCCTTGAATGTTAATAGCATATTTGAAGTGTTGCTACAACTTAGTTTGCATAAAGAATATCTGCTATCCATCCTTCAAATTATTAAAAATGTTTATTTCAGTATGAGTATGCACTGAGACAACTGTATGCCTTGGTCAATGTCTGTGAAGGAAGATACTCCATTGACAGGTAAGGAGGTTCCCACATACTCTATGTAGTTTTGTCTGTGGTTTAAAAAAAAAAAAAAAAAAAAAAAAGGCTAATAGGAGGATGAGCCCAACACTACAAGCATCTCAATTGTTCTCCTCTGTTGACCATTTTGTTAGTACCAGCTCTAAAGCCATACAAGCAAATTCTGGAAAACACGTGCTATTTAGTCCCTCCCTCTCATAAGTATCCAGTTCTCCAAGTCTTTAATTTGCTTGTTGGTAAAATTAAAGCCTGTCAGAGGATCCCACTGCAGAGCATAGCTTCAAAACAGCACGACACATCAGTGTTACAGGACAGACATGTTGTTCTGTAACTTCTGTATAACGTCACATTGAAGCAAAGTTAGGAACTGCTTTGTTTTCTCCTCTGTGCCCTCAGCTGCTGACTCAGACCACAGCACTTCTGTGTTCTCATCCATAAGCACGCGGTGGGAAAACAGGAAAATAAGGGTCCAGACTAAAGAGTTATGGTCAGGACAAGGAAGTGTTGCTTTGGAATACTGACTTACGAGGGTGTAATTCATGGGAGAGGATGGGTCCTAGCTTGTGAGACACACAAGCAGAAGAGTGAGGAAGGACTAATAGCTCGGGCAGAACGAGCATACAACTCAGCTGGTGAACAGCTGCTTTGTGTGCCCTGGTGGCATGTACTCCTGTTGGCATCCCACTACAGTCAGTTCAGAAAACTTTTTGAGAAGAATGAACCTGAACATTTTCTTACTGTTTTTGTTCTCCATTGCAGAATATTCTTGGCTATGGATCAAGTGTGCCGTGGGTATTGATGGAAACAGTAGTCTAATGTAACCCTTACTGCAAGTGATAATTTTTCTTAACTGAAATAATCCAGACTTTCTGTGCATGCAACATGAAGAGTCAACCACTGTGCTGAAGCTGTGCTAGGAGCTGTGGGACCTGCCCAGCAGTCTTACATCACTTGCCAACATTGTCCCCCCATTCCCACCTGCCAACAGCCCAATGGTTCAACAGAACCATTTTATCAGACCACATGGAGCTGTCAAGATGGGAATCTCTGGGTGAACACTACATAGCATCAACAGTGATTCTGAATCTGTGCTAAATTTAAATATTGACTCAGATTCTGGAGAAGAAAAGTTATAGCATTGCTAACCATTATCTTTTTTTTCTTTTTTTTTTTTTTTAAATGATAATGAATGCTATTACAGTGACTAACTTGCAGATTGATTGAAGAGTGAAGAAACCAAAGTTTGTTTTTTAAGCTTTAACTCCTTAACAGTTTAAAGAAGCAAATTGTTGTGTTCAAGAACTATCAGATGTTAACAGCACAGTTCAAATGTGAACAATAAAAAACCTTTTTGGGTAGAAAACACTGTTTTCCAAAGAAAAAACACAAGTATCTAATGCTGTAAATTTAGCACCAGTATGCTATAATTAAAATGTGTGTACACACAAGTGTGTGGGAAGTCACAGAGTTCAGGAATTATCTGTGAATAAAGTTGATAATTTCATCAACCTACTGGGCAATACAATATTAAGTGTCTCATTTCTTGAAATGAATTGAGAGCCAATTCCTTCGTGACAGTGCATTAAGTGGTTATTTAACCTCCATAAAGGTTTTATAAAACAGACTGTATCAAACAAGACCAACAACAAAACAAATGCAAAACTCCTGGATCATACTTAAAGGCACGTTCCTTAGAGATGATTCAATAAACAACAAACAGGAAGGCAAATTAAAAGCTATGAGGTGCTTCCAAATAGTCTTAAATTGTCCATACCTTTTTACGCATGGAGACAGGATGCAGAAATACTTCAGAGATCTTCCCAAAATGTAAAATAAATAGGAAAAATTATCTCATCCTTGTGAGAAAAGAAAAAACACAGGGTAAAATTAATCATAGAGCTACAAGATGGTGAGAATTTGGAGTAGATCCGCTCCAAGGAGCTAAAAGAGAAAGGAGCTAAACCTGAACTTTCATTTACCTTAAGAAGAATCAAATCCCAGAGCATTAGCACTTTCAGCTGTGATTAAGAGCGCAATTAGCTTCAGAATGGGTAGGAAAAGGTAGAAAGCTGTGAAACACAAGTTTACTCAATTGAGAAATTTATGTTTATGCCTTGAGGGTATTGAAAGTTCAGATACTTGGTGTTTTTTTTTTTTTTTTTTTTTGGTTTTTTGGTTTCTTTTTTTTTAATGTAGCTGGTTTCCTTTCAATTGTAAAACTTGAAATGGATGGAGATCTATAAATAAGAGGTTGTGAAATTTTGGATTGCATTAATGTGTTGCAGATGTTCTCCTGAAGACAGAAAGAAGGAAGGCTAAACAAGACGGCATTCAGGCATACTTTTTGTCTTTTGGTTTTTCATGTCTGGAATGTAAAAGGAAAAGAAAAGCCCTCCAGGTTCTTTACAAATACTCTACATCACTCTACAGCGGAGAGACTTCAAGTAGGCTGAGTAGACTTCAACAAGTAATTGCTAAATGAAAAACCAACTGCTAGCACAGATTCGTTCACGTTCTCCTGCAGGCACTTGTAGCTGAGAGGATGCAAAGCAGAAATGTGGAGATTTCTATCCACACAGTCACACAGGAGACAACTCTGCAGAATGAAAAGACCCACAACCTTCACCTGCACTGATCAATACATTTATTTTAAGGTCTCCAAATAGCATCATGTTGGCTTAATGCCTGTATGGCAGGCTCTTTATTTTGGGATGGTGGTAGAACCTAATTAGAAGATGATTTTAAGATTGTGCAAGGTCAATCTTAGGAGTAGTTTGTGGTGCATTGTGCAAGCACAAACACCCTTACTCTTCCTTCAGGCACATACTTGCACAGACTACAATTCCTAGAACACTGGATATAGAAATAACTACTTAAAAATAAGTAAGGCTGCTGGTTCCCAGTAAGTTGTCAGCATCTACCAGAACAGGTCAGAGTGTGTTGTGCAGAATAGTCGTGTTTAGCCCTGACCTTGGAAAGAGTGCCAGGAGGGAGTTCCCTCCTGGGGTTCCCATCTAGTGGGACAAGTGGGGTTTTACCCCAGCTGAGGACAAGGAACACAGTTTTCACAGTGCACGTGGTTGAAATACTGGAGCAGGTCTTCTGAAGGTCTGCATGATCTCCAGCCCTGGGACATGCAGCACAGAAAGGACAAGGCTGAGCTGTTCTGGGAGCAGCAGGGCTTTCAGCAGGGATTGGGCTGTGTGGCCCCACCATCCCGAGTCATGCCTGATGGAAAATAGAGTCCTGTGCAAAGTACCTATCAAAGTACCTATCAGGTTGGTGAATGATGCATGCTGATGCCCAAAGCTGAATTCAGCAGGAAAACTGCCTTTAGTTTCAATGACTTTCATTTTAGGTTGTACTTGACCTCGCAGTGTAATTATTTCAGTGAATTATTGACAGATTTCATCACTGGTACTGTGTGGCATTAGGCCAGGTCTGGGCACAAAGTGGCCACTTGGGCTTTGTGGGTTTAGTTTTTTTTTTTCTTTTTTCTTGAGAGCTGTTGCTAGGTTCGGCAGGTCTTCTCTCTCTCACACTAGGATCCTTTGCCTATGCATAGATGAGTGATCGTTGCACAATATTTCTGTGGAAATAAGTGTTTGAGGAGACCTTGGCCAGATTACACAACTATACTTGGTCAAAGTCTCCTGAAAAGCTTGTCTGCTGACTTCTCATGTGAGGTTCAGAGCATGAGTCACGGTGTGACCGCCTTGACTAACCAGAAGAGGCCACAGATCTCCAGACTGACTGTACCTCTTTAACTGGTTAGTCTGTAGCGTGACAATACCTCATGACAAAGCCAATGAACAAAGTCCTAAGGAGTATTTAAAAGTGATAATTTCATCTGTAACATTTTTTTTTCTTACTGTTTGAATGTCAGACACCAGTTCAAAGTACTGAGAGATTCCAGGTACCAGTAGCCAGAGGGAGGACGTGCTGACCTGCTCTATGTGATATGCTCAACCAGGCCAGGTGCCCCATAGTTTCTGAGGGAGATCCTCCTCAGCTCTGAGTTCCAGCATGGGGATTTCCATCCAGGCAGCTCACTGCCAGGCACAGTAACTTGCATTAAAGAGATTAATCCCTTGAATTCAGAGGAGAGGGGAGTAGTCCATGGATGTCTTTGTAAATCTACTTTGACTTTTTCAGCTGTAATGCCAGATGAAAGTTTTGCAGGTGCAATTTGAGGGCTTTTGTAAAAGCTTGATTCTTCCTCTCCCTCTCTCCTTCCTCTCCTGTTCTCTCTGGCAGTTCTGACTTCAGGACTGTTTGTCTTAAGGTGGTTTTGCACCAGCAGAGTTTCCTCGTGCTTGGTTGCCCAGCCGTAAAACTTGTGGTGTGCCCTCGCCCCAGGGCCTGCAGCTGATGGCCTCCCCAAGGTGTTGTCAGGTGCCTGGGGCTCTTCTTTGCATAACTCTGTTGCTCATTCCTGTCTGCTGCCAAGTCCAGTCTCTCCCCAGAAATATTCAGCAGAAGATCAGTCCTAGCTTAATTCCTTGGGTTCAGCATAGGACCCTGCAGGTATGCAGCCTTGGGGGACGGCACGAGTGCTGACAGCTGCACATGAGTATAAATGACTGAATAACCAGAAACGTGGAGTCAGTTCCCTGCTGGTGTCACGCCAGCACAAGCTCTGCATGTGATGGCCTCAAAACTGAGACTGCTGCTATTCACTGTTCCTCATTCTTCATTGTCATCCCTTCCCAACAACATATGCATGCAGCCTAGGCTGGCAGATGCACAGATGGTCTGGCATCGTAATGCACATTTGGCCATTGCACACGATGGCTCATGCACACAGACATGGACATTTCAAGCCACGGAGACTGAGAGCATGACCAGCCACATGCAGTGTCATTTTCCATTTGGAGTTCAGACATAGAGCAGGGACCTCAAGCAACTTGGTCCGACATGTCCCAGTTCTGTTTCTGAATGTTAATGAGAGGAAACAACAGCAGCTTTGAGCAAAACCCACAGTAAAACCTTTCTAGTCTAGAGTCTAGTCTGCAGCTTCACTAGGCCTGATCCCATGTTTGTCTCTGCAGTGGAAGCTACACTGGCAGTGGAATCTTGCCTGAAGGAAGGCACCCAGAAGACAAAGATCTGTTTTGCAATTAAGGCTCTGCTGTCATTATCCAATACTGAAAAGTTGCTTGCTAATTTCACAGAATGCATTTTTTCCAATGTTTATTTTATGGAAATTCAGGTTGCAGGGAAATTTAAATTTGCAGTGACTGAAAATGACTGAAAGTAGAGGTAGAGAAAGAGAAGAATTAGCAAATTCTGTCTCAAATGCCTGAGCTGATTGAAGTAACAATCTGGCAGGACATGCAGATATGAAAACACTAGAGAAAATCACAGCTGGGTAAAAAGAGACCAGTATTTTATTCTTGCTCTTTGACTTAAAATTTTAATCTACTTTGCTACATTGGGAAAATTATTAAGTTCTTTACAAATTCTTATTTTAAAACAATTGCACCATATCACACATAGAAATAAATATACAATTAAACAGACGCTATCATACAACTAATGTCATTTAAACAGCTGTACATTGATGGTGAACACTTCCAATCTTTTAAGAAAAATACATTGATGAAAATGCCTATGTCACCTGGCGTTAGTGACAAATAAATGGCAGAAAATATTTTCTTTGTCAATGTATTGAATCTTCTTGCATGATTGGTGAATATTTGGATTTCAAAGGCAATTTTGTGTTACAGACAGCAAGACAGAGATGGAGTTCTGCTATAGCTGGCAATCCTGTGCCACTGTATACATCAGCCAGTACTTTTTTAAATCAAACTGAGTTGACAGATGTAGGTGTAAATGTAGTCTTACCTCCTAACAGCACTGAGGTGTGTGCAGACCATTCCAAGGCCTTGAGCACTGAGGTGCACCTGCCATCACTTACGATGGAGTAAATGTCCACTTTTCCACAAGATCTCTGAGATCATTCTCTGCCTATTCTGCAATGTTGGCATTGCCAGCGGGAGGTTCTGTGGTTTGATACTTCAAGTTTTCCAAAGGATAATGTTCTCCTGAATGCTCCTTTTTGAACTTCACTGAGAAATGCCTATATTCAGACAGCATCTACAATTAGCACACCTGCCCTGTGGTGAAGGTCAAGCTCCAATGACCTAAGATCCGCAGCTACCAGAGGATCTCACAAAATAAGCTATCCAGCCCTTCCAGGATGACAGCAAACTCAACAAAAGAGTACCATGACCTTTAAGAAAAGTCAGTCTCTCTGACAATTGGAACTGGTGGATTTTTGTACTCTATTGGTTTATAAATAAAATGGAAATCTTTTTTGTTTTCGCTCTTCAGTAGTGAGGCTTTGATACGGTGAGGGAGGGCCTCTTTGTCCAGCTGCAGCCACTGGTCATCGACATAAACAAAGAGTCTATAGATCTTGGGATGGGAGACTTCAAACTTTTCGGCACACTGCTGGCACAGCTGCTCGGTTGTGGTGTCATTCCGTGAGGCAAGTGTCCTTGACTGAGCACCAATCTCCAGGAAGGAAATGGAGATGAAGTCCTGAAGAGAAACATGAGGATAGATCTTGCAGCTAGCACAGTGACTTTAGGACCAAAAGAGGAGAAATCAAGCCCCAAATCTCAATCTAAACAGAACTCCTAAACACTCCCAAATATCCAGCCATTCTTCAATGCTCATGTTTGAGTGTCCTCCAAACTTCCTTTCATCAGAAAGGAAACAGCTGATGTTCTGAGGAGGCTTATTTACTTGTACCCTGTTTCAGGGATTGAGAACTGTTGGGATGACTTTCCTTCCTCTTGCTGAACCTACGAGGAACAGAATCTAGAAAGCATTTAGCCATGGAGGGCTGTATCTGTGAAGTTCAAAAAATTCCCAGAGATTTCTATCTGAATAGACTCAGGTTTCCCAGAAAAAGTGAGAAAGCTTCAGACTGTTAAACGTTTAAATCCTACATATTTGCCAAATATGTGGACTCCAGGCTGCTTTTAAAGAGTATATCTGCAGATCAGTAAGGCAGCCAGTAGGGGGTGCAGGGCACATGGAACGTGCCAAGAAGTTAAGTTACCTCCACCAGAATGAACTTGAATATTTTCCATCATTCAGAGGGATGGAAAGCAACACTTTCACTGCTGGAAGCTGTGGGAATCTTCTGAAGGAAGCATTGCATTTGCTTGCTGAGCTATTGTACTTAGTAGTTGCTATGAGCTACTGCCAGAGAAGCATTCAGAGATGGATGACTGATGGATGGGACACATCAAATATCCATGTGTTCTGAGAACATTAGAGACAGTTTTGACTGCAGTATGTAAAGGATAATAAACATCATGCTTCTGTGTGGCTATTTGGACCATGTCTCCCACTCAGAAGTCTTTCCCCTGTCTTCACCTCAGTGTTCAGTGTTGAGCTTTGCACTGTGAAGTCTCTGAGGTGGCCTTTGCTGCCTCTCTGTGGGTACAAATTTGATTGCAGGCCATGGGGCTGACAGGGCAGTGTGATCTGTCTCCTGTCTCACCACTGTTGGAGGATCGTAGCACCCAACCACTGGTGCATGGGGATACCTTCACGGACCCACACACAGTGAGCACCTCACAGCTAACAAGCCTGCATATTATGCACTCTCCTTTTTAATAGTAATTTGAGTTGGTTTTGTCTTAAAATAATTATCATATTTAAAACGAGTAAGTATGGACAGAGCCCATCCATCTGCCAGGCTGTTTCTTTCCCAGTAACACAAGATGGTACCTGCACCGACGAGCGAGAAGCCCGGGCCTTGTTCAGCGTCCTCCGCCGCTCCCAGCGGTGAATGGAGTCCTGCACCTCCACGCTCAGCTGCCGTGTGACAGTGATTTTGTCGTAGTTCTTGATGTGTTCCAGGGCTCCGTAGGTGGTGGTTAAATAATAGGAGCCTGCAAAAAGAAAAGGTCTTGCATGAACATCACACCTGCAGGGCAGTTCATTTCCATCCTGCCTGTGCCCATGCAGAGGCAACTGTCCAACACTTGCATCGCCCATGCCTCACCTCAGGGAGCGTGGGGCTTCTGGTGTCAGTGCAAGAGAAAGGAAACAATGACCACAGTGTTTTCCACCCTGTTCTGCTTCACAGAAATGTCAGCTGTCCAGGCTGATGAGGTGGTAGATGCATTCCCCATAACACAAGGAAGTGCTGACAATCCCAGTGTGTTCTGTAGAAAAAGTAGAAGCTTGCATTTCCACCCTGACTTCAGCTACCCTGGCAGAAATGTTTAAAGCCCAGGTCCTCTGTGGGATCAGTGATGTTAAAAGAGGTCTTGGACCTACATGGACAAGTCACCCTGTGCACAAACCCAGATGTCTGGATGAGACAAATGCCTGGATTCTTTAAAGTTACATGGGATAAATCTTAGTAAACCAGAGAAAGAGGGGATGAAGCAGTAAAAGCCTGATGTCAGGCCCAAAAGGAAGAGGACTCAGAGAGCCGCTGGTGCTCATGTCACCTGTTGGCCCCATGTTGGACCAGGCCCACCACCTCTGCCTCTCTGCAGCCTCCTTTTGCTTCTCCCCTCACCCTGGCGGAAGGAGTCCTGGGACAAAGTATCCAGTAAACTGGGTGGCAGTTATTAATGTTTTGTAATAACTGCAGCTGCCTCTGGATGGCGCTGGCACACCGCCCAACCAGTAGTCACTGCTCTTAACTAAAACCCATTCAAAAGTAAATTCTTAACGTGGAAGCCAGACTGTAGTGATTTTATGTATTAGTCTGACAGTTTTCTGCCTTCTGCTTTTCTTTTATTTACTTTCATTTCTCTGCCCACTTTTTATCACTTAACACTGAAAGGCACAAACTGAGCTCAAGCATTTTAGCACTGTGCTTCACGATCTCTGAGCTTTCTTCACTGAGCTATTCTTTCTTTTTCTATCCCTTGCATCTGCATTTACTCTCAACCTCCTTTCTGAAGTGATTACTCAGCCAGTGTTATCTGGAACTTCCCTACCAATTTTTCCCTTCAGCTGCAGTATACATTTCACATAGGCTTTGCATCTTCGACTTGAAAGAACTTCCAGCAAGCTCTGCCTTTGATTTCCTGAGCCCTCAATCCTGCTGACTTCAGTAACCAGCTTGGTAGCATGCCCTTTGGAAATGAAGAACCTGTGGGCAGTGCAGTTACCAAAAACAGCTCATTATGTCAGCTAAGTGCTATGCTTATGCCAACATTTTTTCTGCTAACAGTTTTTTTTTTTTTTTCCAGCAGGAACATCAGTCTGTGCAGAAATCCTTCACTAATGCAATTGTATTGCTACTGCTCCTTCTCTCTGCTCCGCTCTGCCCTATGCTGGGTACGTGTTCTTTAGCTACAGATTTAAGTTCCATTTAATGTAAATCAAATTAGTCTGCCCTTGTTTGCCCAGGATTCCTTTCTACTCTTCAGTACTTACCAAAACAAATTCTAAAACAAAACTCTTTTTATTGATTTAGTGACTACTTAGTGAAAAATTATCTGTAATTCTAATTAAGAGTGCATAATCCTGTCTGTAGTAACATTTGCTTCCCAGGCTGTACTTGAGAAGCGAAAGGCCCACAGATATTTACCCCTTTAATAGTAAAGCTCTTTATCCACAACCAAAACTGATATTTCTCTCTAAACTTACTTTCCTTTCTCTGCCTCACTGTGGTACTCAGCCAGAGAACACAGTCAAATAAGCCACTCTATTCACATGCAAGGTATGAGAATCAAGTATAGCCCAAGGCATACAGTGCAGTGTAAGAACTATTTATTTATCTCTATGGAATAAATAAAAGTAAAAGAATGGATTGCAGAAGTTATAGGCAAAGACCCTTTGACTTTCCAGCCTTACAGCCACAGAACACTAGATGTCCCTGTTTAGGTTACTAATTCACCAGATCTCATTTGTGCTCGGCCATCCATTGCTTTTTTAGCTGGTGTCAAAGGTCACTGCACTGAAGTGTTTAATACTCACTTTAAAGCTTCAGATTTGGAAGGCTTGGCCAAAGCTCATCCACAAAATCTAGCCAGAGCCGTGCTGCCCTGTCTTCATAAACATTAAAGCGGGGTAAATAATGATTTACAAAGAGAATATCCAAGGAGCAAATACAGTACTCTACCTTCACCTAGCTGCAGCGCAGGGTCCATGAGCTCCATCATATACTCTACATTCAGAAGGACTTCAGTCAGGTTGCTGCGAGCCAACACATACATGAGCACAGGGAGGAAGTCATCAGCACCATAAGGCTTCCCTGAGCAAAGAGAAACATAGAATGGTCCCAATAAACTCACCAAAAAGGCACATCTCAACACAGCAGTAACGGCTTATCAGGCAGCATGTCTTTGACTTTTGCTTAAATTATCTCAAGAGCTAAAGATCAAAAGCACAAGCAAATTAAAAATGATAAGAAAGTAAGTCCTAAAAAACACCGTCTCAGATTCTCAGAGAGATTCCTTTTTTTTTTTTTTTAAACTCTTCGGCCCAACATCCCTTTTTTTTTTAACTCTTCAGTCCAACATGTAGAGCAAGAAAAAAAGAATATATACTCCTAACAACACATATTCAAATTTTTCACAAGGCAAATCACTGCACAGTGATTTGCACACTAAAAGTCTCCCAAGTTAGAAACTAAAAGGAAGTTTATTTCCAGCCACAGTGTCTAGCTGGGAAAAAAAAATCCCTTCCACAATGACTAGGCTAGTTTTCAGTCTTGGTGCTCAACAAGTGCTACAGAAACAGATCCTCATGGGCTCAAGATTCCCTGTGCCTAAAACAACAAAGTCAAGAAAGTGACCTTATAAGTAATCAGTGAAAGCTCTGGGGACAAAAAAGCGCACAGATTAATCATTATAATTATAAATATTTACTGCTTAAATTAGAACCCAAACAGAAGATTTACTACATAAACTGCAAAGAACAAGACAAATTTCCTTATTTAAAAGATACTTTCATGCAAAGATGTCACCTACTACAGATGATGATGCTTTCATTTCCTACCAACACGTCACGAATTTATCATGGGCAACATGTAGTACCAAGTTTCTTAACCAGCCTGTTTTCCCAGCAGTCAGGGTTGATGATTCTTCTTAACCTAAACCCTACTTTCATTCTGAATGCTTTCCCTCAGACTGTGGGCAGTTTTCCTCATCTGAAGTGCTGGTTTCATCAATTTGGAACTCATTACGTGCATCTCATTTGAGAAGTGCTTGCCTTATTTCAAAGAATAAGAACCATCATTGGTGTAGCTGCAGTGAAGTTATGCTCTGACCATTTTTAGCCCCTAGTCCACATGCCCTTCCATGGTGGGGAATGAATTCCCGTTTCTCATATTTCCCACTGACTTATTTCAAATCTTTGCCATGAGTCAGCTTTCCTTTTTTGTCATTCATAGCTGATACAGATTCTCTACTGGCAAAGAAAGATGTTCTTTTGAAGCCTCAAATAAACATGAGCTTAACCTCTGATAAAAACAAAACAAAACAAAAACCAGCAGCGTGGCTTTAAAATAAACACAGTAATATATGTAGTGAACAGAAAGTTGATCCAGTTAAAATAAAGTGTTGGAGGATGAGAGATTCTCAGATCTGTAATTCAATCTATATCTCACAGAGATTGCACACGCCACAGCACAATTTATTTAATGAAAGCTGGATTAACTCTTAGTTCTGTTTGCTCTATTATGGCTATCTTCAGTTAAACAACACAGCCCCAGGTCTTCACCTTAACTATAAAAGATCCCTATTATTTCATTAACATCTAGAGGGACATTTTATTTCTCTGCTGTTGTTTCAGCTTGTATATCTGATAGCCTCAGCTCAGTGAAGGCTCCAATTCGCTACTGTCACACCCTGACACAATAGTACAGCTATTTAGTATTGTGTAGCAAAACACTCAACTGGGACATGAAAGCATACTAAAAAACTGCACTGAGAAAAGCCCTATTTTCCTTTTGAGCTAAGTAAATCAAACGCCAACAGATAATTCTGTATAGACAAAGTGTAAAGAAAGATGAAATACCAAAGAACATGCATGGCTCTTTTTCTTCAAAGCTTTTTTCTTAGTGATGTAGCAGTTACTGATGAGTGGTGTGATCTTGCACTCCTGATTTCCTGAAAGCCAGGAGTGGGTTTCAATGCAGTGCCCACAGCAGAATGTTATCTTCCCTAGCATTTCATCTCCATGACCAGCCCACGTTGTGCCTACTGCATGCAAAGAAGTTGCTGGTTCACAACGTGAACTCCTATCTACTAGGAGAAACAAACAAAAAAACCTGCTACCATGTCGTTTTTGTTAGTTTGATTGTTTTTAAAGTCAGTGAGAGAGATCAACAGACATCCAATGGACTGCTTGTCCGTTGCTGAGAGGAAACAGCAATTTGGAATCTACCAACTTGGCATCCCCAGCGATTGACTTTTACTGTCAGCAGAAATGAAAGTTAGAGAACACTTTTCAAGAATGTCTACAGAATCTCCCTATTTCTCTTTTGTTGGCTGAGAAAGGGTTTTATTTATAAGCAAGCACCAAGTCCATTATTTTCCACTACGTTCTCACTTAGGGGTGTCTGAATGCAGTAATATAAAGAATACTGTTTCTTCGTATGTTGTATGCTCATAACTGCATAAATTACTAGACATTGTTTTAATTCACTTCTGTTTGTATGAAGCCTGATTCTTAAATATATTTGTCAGTAGCTAAAGCTGATATCAGCAGAAGTGGGGTCGCAGAGCTGCCATCCAGGATCTAATTCTGAATCCGTATGTTGCCACAAACTTCTGGTGTTTCCACGGGCACAGGCTGTAGCTTGAACATGTTCAGTAGGCAGACTCAGGACAACCTGGAGATGCCCTGTATCTCAGCCCCTTCATGGGGGTACAGGTTCTGTCAGCAGCTCAAATATGACCAGAAGCAGGAAGCTCAAAGATACATGAAACAACACTCATGAAGCAAGACACCCAAGCAGTGGCTGCTGTTCAGTGTCCTGCAGCCCACCTGTCCCCAGCACCAAGACAGCACTGTGGTGGCACTGCTGGCCCTAACCACTGCTCACCCTGTGGCTGCAGCAGGGCTGCTCTCTGCATGGCTCCACTTCCAGTCTGACTCAGAATCAGGCCTGCAGTTTTGCATGCCCAGCTCAGTCTGTGGTCTCACAGAGCAGTAAGTTTGCAGGTGACAGAGTTAAATCTAGCTCTGACCCTGCCACTGGTCTCAGTAGCATTGGGACTGAGCTTGTTTGTTCAAGGTGGTGTTGTCCTACTCCAGACAGGACTTGCTTGGGTTTTTTTCCCCATCTTTCCTGCAGGATCAGGGAACATTTATTTCATTAATATCTATAAGAAGCTTAAAATAAGCCTTCTCTTCTGCCACAAGCCCATCCTATTATGTTTATATCAAAGCAAATACCACTTCAGCTCCTGGCTGGGATGCAGTGCTTGAATGGAATGGATATTAATTAAACACCCAATTTAAGGCAACTGGAATTTTGCCCAAGCCTCCATAAAGAAATTGCAGCCTGTTTTAGCACATTCATGTATTTCTTCTCCCTCTGTGGTTATTCTGACAACCAGCACACAGCGATGATGCTCCTCATCTTGTTCTACTAGTTTACAAGCACTGGAATGATGTCTAGCAGCAGCTGTTCAAGACATATGAATTTTAGTCTCCATTTTTAGCTGAGAAACCTGAGGCACAGAAATGCTAACTGGGATTTCTTCAAATCATTGAAAAAAAGTGACCATCCTTCTACTCACTAGCATTTTGATGTCTCTTGTCCATCATATACTAATTCAGCAAGGCTTGATTTACAGTCCAGTTAATTAAGAATCTCTTCATAAAGTAGCCTCCCCACTTTTCAAGCTTCCAACTCATGTTTAGAGCATTCCCGTGTTTGGTCTTCTCTGCTCACACGCTGACCAAACTTGGATTGTTTGTCTCACCCAGTATTTCCTCATAAACTGATGTCTTGTCTGTTTTTGTTTTTCCATCAATCCTCTTCTGCAGAGCAGCAGCTCCCAGGTATCACAGGGCGAGGAGCTCCAGTTACACTGCTGCCAGTACCCACTGCATATATTGCATCTAATTATGACTCCACAAGTGTCACTTGTTTGTTTGATACAGCAAAAAGTAGAGATTTCTACCATACAAAACACTTTTGACATTTTGCCTGAGAAAAGTTATTTCTGGAAGATAAACAAGAAGCACTCTTTCTGCAAATGATTATAGTGCTTCTTTATAGATGACATATGCACCCAGCTCTGCCTGTGGTTACTACACTATGTCTTTGAGATGTTGGAGCAGTCAGGATGTTGAAAGTTTACAGCACCTCTGAGTCCCACCTCTTAATTCTTCTCGCACACACAGCAAGAAAAGTTAGCCAATCTGCAAAGGGATTCCAAACTCTCTTTCTATTATTTTAAAGTATGTTATTCTACCTAATTACTCCTAGTAATTTTAGCAGGAAGGTTACATATCTTTAAGTTGCAGTTGCATTTTGAAAACATATGCTGCTATTATTTAAAATTTCCCAGAACTTGGAAAAGCTTTGTGAGACACTGCAGTACTATCATAATTGTCCCTTCTGGGAGGATTCATTAATAATACCATTGCCTACACCATACACATGAACACTACCCCTGAACTCCTATTATAGCCAGTTATGAACTAATCAATATCATCAGAGAAGCTGTGAATCATCTCACCCTAAAGCAGACTCCTACCTTTCACCAGATGAATCAACTGAACTCCACTTCCTAAGACTCTGTGGTTTATAACGAGAAGCTGTATGTGATACCCATCTGTGCCACCTACAGCCAGATATAGCTGGAGATGAGTCCTGCTCCAACATACATCTAAATCTTGTGGTTGTACTCAGAGGTCTGTTAGAAGAAAGGTGACAGACAATGACCGTGAACCTGCCTTCTCGATTCCTGGTGATGAATCAGATCCACAAGTAGATTGCTTTCAACTTGAAGGAGAAATGCGGCATTGTGCCAGCTGAGAATTTGACCCATTCAGCTCATAGTCTATGTATCTAACACAAATTATCACAGCCACTTTATCAGACATATTTTGTTATGTGATCTAAATTGCATTCTTCTATTATAACCCTGACAACCAAGCCAGCAAACTCCTCTTTTCTCAAAACTGTGGGATCAACATGGAGCCAATCAAGGCTGACTTCAAAGTTTCACAACTCTTGCAATGGTACAAAGATGGGCACTGCCATAGGTACTCATAGTTCTGACTATCCTCAGCTTTAAAGAAAACTTGGTACCAATTGGATACCCCTGAACCTCAACTAATGTAGATGGATCCCAGTATGTTAAAAATCTTGTGTCTGGAAAAAAAAAAAGGCGTTTGATTAGATTGCATTTGTGCTTTTTTTTTTTTTAGATATGAAGCCATATTTTCAGGTCATCTTGTTCTGCAGTCAGCCTAAAGTGGATAAAGACCTGACCTGAACTTTCCACTTGCAAATTAATCAAGACTTACAGCATTATTGAACAGATTATTTTTCTGACAGAGATTCTGCAGCAGAGGGAAAGGTTAGTTTTGTGTTCTGCATGTGCTGACCTTGGAAGAGGAGAGACCTCACTAATTCAGCAGTGAGTAAAAGGAGCTAAAAGAAGAACAGGCAATTGCACAGGAAACAGAGTGTGGCCTCTACTCTTCCGGTGCAAAGAGCAATACACTGTCCTGGGCCTGCTGAAAGCAAAAGGTGCCCTGTGCTGCTGCTTCTGAAGCAGTCAGAGGAAAGAACTACATGCTGAAATCTGGCCTGAGCAGCCCACAGCACACTCTTCTGCACAGCAACAACTGGGAATCTTTCATCAGAAAAAATATTTCAGTTTGCTTTGTCCAGTATTTGTCTTTGCCAGGTGGAAAACTGAAGTAATGCTTGTGATCTAGGGTGTTTCACATGATTTACTTCTAACTGTGTCTGCAGGATTTCTCACTGTATTTGTCTCTGAGTGCTGTGTCTGCTATGACTTAGACCATTGCATTCCTCCTCTTCTGGATGCTAAATTCACAGGAGTACATATCCCCAATGCCAGGCCAGTTTCCTTCTGACTGCATGCTGATGTGCAATAATGGTCATATATGTTGGGTAGGGAATTGGCCGCATAGGGGAGAATTTGGCTTCCAAATCGCATTCTACTCACAGCAGTATTTGACATAAGAAAACAGCTGAGATGGCCAAAATGAAGTGCTTTGGGTAGAACAGCAAATCACAATGAAATAACCTGATTTCTTGAATGCCAAACATTTTGAACTTTTAGGGTTTTTAATGGCTCCACTGGCCCATAATTTCTTCCACATAAGGTGACACAACAGTATTTCCTGCAACAGGGAAATTCCAACTCTGAGCTAGCTGAGGTATGACAAAATATACCAACAGCATCAGAAGGATACCCTTAACCCACTGGGTAGGTTTTAATGTGGTATTTGAATCTTAGAACTCCACCAGATATTCTTTCAAAACTTAAAGTAACACAGCTGTTTTAATAGTTACTGCAAATTCCCCTATGGTTGTCCACATCTTCTCATAGGATGGGAAGACAGTCAGAGATCCTGTCCACTCTGCAGCATAGGCTCAGCCCTGCTGTGGCTTCCCGCTCTGCTGTTCACGTGTCTAGACGGGTTGTTGAATTCTGCTGCATACTGTTCAAGTGAGGACACTGAGATGAGGCTCAAAAGAGACACAGCTCCTGTGTGAATGCCTCATGGCTGTTGGCAGTGGGAAATAAAGCAGAGCAGTTACAAACATTTTTGGAGACTCTAACTTCTTGAACAACTGCAGATCATTACAAATGAGCTCATGGCCAGTCTCCAAGTTGTGCATAGCTTGTAATCTACTCCCCAGTATGTGAAGAAAGTTCCTAAATTGACAAAGCAAGCTCCTAGAGGATGGCATTTACTGGTCTATCTGCAAAAATGCATCCTGTTTGCAGGATAAGGGCTTAACGTGCATTTAGCGGTTGGCCTCAAGTCTAAGTAAGGCTTCCTCACACCAGAAAAGCTTAGCAGTGGCTCATGAAATTTACTGGAGCATCAGGAATTTGTAACATACAGCACAACTATTTTGCTTCTCCTCCTCAATTTAGGCAAAACTTTGTCAGAGCCAAATCAAGAGACATTTCTCAAAGACCCATTCCTAGAGTTTGCCATTAAACTGCTACAAGCTGAGACTTTGGAGTTATGGAGCTTGAAGTTAACCAAGAAACATACTGTACCTGTTATCAGTGCTGAAAATTTCACAGAACCTAATCAGCCCAATCTGAACACAGCTTATGGAGAGCTGTTAGCAAACACACTGACCATTACTGCTACCTCCACTCTATTACCACACTGACTGTATCATAAACCCTGCTCCTGTGATACCTGGGGAAAGACCAGTGAGGAGTATCATCACGGTAGGAGTGCTGTACCTGGGTTTCCCTGAGACATGGAGTCATAGATGAGTTTGCAGGACTTCAGTAAGATGCCAATCTTCTTTTCTGGGGAGTAGGCCTTGTGCATGGTTGTGAACTTGTGAAGGATCTTGTCCAGCACAACAGTTTCAGGTACACTGGTCGTTACACCTAGGTCAGTGGTAGTTGTGTTTTGTATCACAAGCTGGTTCTCTTTTAGCTGCTGTAAAGATCCATCTTTGTTGTGGATTTCTTTTAAGTAAGAATTGATGGCTTCTTTTAAAGGTTTCAGGACACATTTGTACAAAGCTGTCTCAGCAATCACATCTGCATGGAGAAGGGAGAACATAAAAATCCATTGTAAATAATCAACACTGGAGTAGAGGTGCCAGTAAGACTCCTAAAAAAACGTGGTTATTCATGCACTGTTGCATAGCTTTGAGCAGGAAACAGAACTTACACTTCAGAAAGTAAACATTTTATTACCAGTACTCACCAGAAGTCCTGGAAAGGCTCAAGGCCAGCATGAAAGACACCAACATTTGCTCAGAAGTCTCACCCTTCCTGCTCAAGTTACTCTAATTTACTGATATTTAAGTCAAATCTTATGCCACCTGTAGAAGAGGAAGTTGTGTGGGCTGAACGTTTGCTTAATATTCAGCAGGAGAGAAAAGGAAGCAGGAGAGACTGTGAGAAAGTGCCTTTTGTCTGCTGTCCAGACCCTAGAAACCAGTGGTAGGGCCAGCAGGAGTGCAAGGATCATTTGTAACCCCTGCACTGCGGCAAACAGGTCACTGCCAAATAAGTCCATCTGCACAGCCAGGGAGGAATGAAGCAGAAGGCATACAAAGTGTAACTATTTTAAGGATTCCAGTAAATCAGCCTGAGGCAGGAGGGATTTGAATGGTAAGTCTTGTGTGGTGGCAATCCCTGTCCTCTTCAGGAGCAGACAGACACCTCCTAGGCTGGCAGAGCTGCACTGTCCTGATAAGGAACTGCAGATGAGCAGTGCAGGATCTAATGAAGCATGTCTGTGTGAAGGTGAGGTAATCCTTGCACTCACACAGCTCTGCCAAGCAGAGAAAGGACACTTGTTTCTGATTCCTTTCCACCTTCCCTAAACAAGATTAATGACAGACTTCCCTGTGCTGAAAATTCCTCTGTCTCCAAGAAAGGTGTTACTAGGGTAAATATTGTAGGTCTTACACGAAGTGCGTGAGAAGTGAAACAGCAGCTCCTCTCTCTGAGGTATGTCAGAGGTTGGCACAGGTTCACTCTGCCAGAGAGGCTGCAGGGCCACCTGAAGCCTTTGCTGGGTGAGAAGGAAGCCAGCAGGGGTTGCTGAGACCAGCAGCTGATCACCTCTGGATCCCAACACGTAATGGAGCGGCAGGTATCTTGGGCACCCAAGTCTACGAGACGTGGTGGTTGGCCATGTTCTGAGCTGGGGGTCTTCCAGCTCCCATTTTTCTCTGGGCCAGTTTACGAAGCTCATAAATAGCTCGGCATTGGTTCTCAGGTTCTCAGTAAACAGTTTTAAGTCAAAAGAGTGTGAGAGTACGTGTATAAATGCTTTTTCTGGCTGTACTGGAGGATCGAGATCCTGCAGCCCTAGTGTGTTCCCACATGGATGTATGTTAAACTTAGGCCAGTTCATACTTTTGAGCAAGGAGGGAATTGGCACATAATTCCTCACAGCACGTTGAAGAAACACCCTCAAGTGGCTGAAAGGACTATTTTTTCCTCCCCAAAGGCAATTAATTTATTTAGCATAGAGACATGAATGCTGCATTTTTGGGGCCAGCAGAGGTCTTGGAACAGGCAGCTCTTCCCTGCCTCAAGGCTGAGTTGTGCAGTCCTGGATCAAGTGATTCCTCTAGCCTGCCACTCCAAATGGTTGCAGTCTGTGCCTCCTCATGGAATAGTAACCAGCCCTCTATCTGTACACCACGAGCAAGGAGCTCTCCATCCTCATCACGGAGCCTGGGGAAGGGGGCCAGGGGAATGGGACAGTGCAAGGGCTTGTCATGCAGAGCACAGCTTTTGGTGCATGTGTCCATACCTATATATACGTATGCATATTTTTACACATGCATATGCGTATCCACATACATATATATGTCTCACATACACAAACACGTATCTCTTCTACTTAAACTCATTCTCTCAAAAAATTCAGAATAGAATTTTCCCCCTTGTTGGACTCCTAGTTTTTAGAGCTGCTTCTCCAAATGCTGGAACAGCAGAGCAGACTTCAATTCAACCCCTCAGATTTATAATTTCTGTAAAACAGAACCTGTGTCCATATTATCTCATTTCCCTCCTTACCTTCCCAAAACCAGCCCAAGAACTAGCAAAGTACAAATACATACCTAATTGCTCGTCAGTGTAGGCAGCTGGATCTATCAGAGATTTCAGCTCGGTGCTCTGCACTAGGTAACTCTTCAGCTGCGTCATCATCATTCGGATTTCTTGTAACATCTCTGTGCTGGAGCTCTGCTTTGCCATCATCTCCAGACTGTACACTCTGTAGTCTTGCACCAGGTTGCCAAAGTATGAGTCCTTATCCTGTGCCAGCTCCACTATCTTTTTCTGCAGCTTTCTATCATTAGACAAAAAAACTGTGAAGACGTTGGACAGGCTGACAAAAGACAACCTGTTCTTGGCCTTGCCCAAGATCATGGAGCGTGTCTTTTTAGTAGACAAAGTACCCAGCATCTCCAGGTCATCCTCGGTGCTGCTGGTGGAGTAGGAGTCTGGTTCAGATGCTGATGTCTGGGCTGCAGCACTGCCTCCCAGGCCTTCCAGGGACAAGTGTGAGCCCTTCAGTTCAGCTGAGTTCACAGACTTGTGGCCATGTCCCTGTTCGGTCTCAGCATTGGTGCCAGTGGCAGCGCCTGCTGCTGATGCTGAGCTGCCTGTGCCCTGAGCCTGAGCTGTGGCTGCAGGCTGCTCCACCACTGTTATGTGATTTGACTGGCAGGAGCTGAGGACCCGCGGTGCCTGGGAAAGCCTCTTCCTTCTGGGTGGTGGGATAGGAGGCAACTTTCCTTTCTCAGTGGCATCACTTCGTACCTCAGGCATGGACTCCTTCTCTGCAGGTTCGGGCTTTGCCTCCTGAAACTGCGACACAGCCTGCTCAGGAACCTCTCCAGGCATTTCTGCAGCCTTGCTGCACGACAGCCTTTTACCTTCGCTTTGTGTATCCAGCTCTTGTTTTTCTTCAGCCTGTTCCCCTTTTGGTGTTTCACAACTTGCAGGCTTACCCGTGCAGTTCTCCTCTGCAGCCCTCTCAGATGGCCGCCTCCGCGGGGGCACAGCAGGCTGGGGGCCCTTCTTGAGGCTGCCGGCTGATGGCTCCTTGTCAGAGCAGCTTTGCTTCCCTTCCTCACCATCACCGCCCACGGTTTTCATTTCCTTGATGCTCTTGCCCAGTGGCTGAAGAAGCTGTGCTTCTTCACAGGCCGTCATGGGTTCCCGTGGGAGCTTCAGGGAAGACTTCTTCTGCCCGTGAGAGTGTGGAGGGGGCGGTGGGGGGCGGCGGGGTGATGTGGTGGTGGCAGCGGGCAGGCTGGAGCACACAGCATGGCCCTTGGGAGGAGGTGAGTCTGGAGGAAAAGGATTACTGCACTCTTCTATAAAAATAGGATTCACGAACCACAGCCTGTCATTTCCTATTGACAGCTCAATTTCACATGAGCAGTGGTTTGTGCTACTTGCGACACACTGGGTAGATCTCAAACCGTCTGCCTGGGCCGTGCTGAGGGCAGAGTCTGCTGCAGGGTGGGATAACGCCTCTGTGCTCATTCTGTGGTTTAAAGAGGAATCCCAAAAGTCTGACAAAAATCAAGAAAAGAGAGGGAAGGAAAAGAAGAATGAAAAAAAACTCCTGTAGAAAATTTTAACTGCTAACTGTAGGTGGAAGTCCTACATTTGTTAAAAGAAATAGTACACTTCTTTCACATCTCTGCACAAAACAGTGTGAAAAAAGGGCTGATACTTTGCACATGTGAGATACTTCAAACCAGAGGATGATATCAGAATGGTCACCACAGGAATTATTCTTGGCAATTTTTGGACACTCTTCTAGTGAGAGCTATTCATGCTGTCCTAAGTGAGCAGAAAGGTACAGCAGTAAATATGCCTATTTGAGCAAAAGAGTCTATGGTTTGCTTAGTGATCACTGCCCAAATTGCAGAGACAGTGGGTGAAGACTGCGGGAAGGTGCAGCTTCCCTCTTGTGGGCTGCAGGAAGCTGTGGGGCTGGGACCTGCAGCCTGGATCCAACATCTGCTGGAAGCACCAGGAGCATCAGCTGAAGTTCCACAGTATGTTCACATAGCAGATCCTGGTCTGCATAGAGCTCTGATCCCACTTTACTCTACAACCCAACCAGAAATATATGACTTTGCTATATCATTTAATATTACTTTGACTGATAACATTTATCTTGAACTTCTGCAATTCAGATAATCATTGTCCATGCCCAGTCCCTGTTTTGCACCTTGCCTCAAGATCGCCCACCTGCAGGTATAAGAGAGGAAAGATGTGCAAAAGACTGCATATGTATGAGGGTTTATATTGAAGGACTACAGAACAGTATGTTGGTACCATCAGCTGTGACTGGGAAAGGAAGATGATTCAGATGCCAGATGTCATTTCCATACATTACAAACCTCTTATTAGAATTTGTTTTTCAATAAATTGTTTTAAAACATTTTGAAGTGTTTTTATGCCTTCTGAACAGTTTCAGTACATATTTAAGCTTTTTCCCTTCCTCCAGAGCTGTGTTTTCAAGCCTTTCTGGTCCGATTGCATATAATCATTCCTTGAGCTGCTAATTCAGCATCCTTTCCTGGAAACAGTGTTTGCAGTTTCCTGCAAACTGTGTTTTCTGACCAACTAAAAGGGGAAAACTTCTAAGGGTATTCCCTGGATGAGAACATGGGGAAAATGTGAAATCCTGGAAACACAGAGATGCAGATAACTAGAGTACTCCGGCATGCCTGGTGTCAAGCTTGCAGCTTTGTAAGGGTTAGATACTAGCTCTTCCATTTTTATCCAGCTGAAATTGTTGAGTTATCCTTTCTCAGCCCAGGCTGTTATCCATGGTTAATTCAAATTTAAGAACACCACGTCTTCTCTGGGAGGTTGAGTTTTTCATTCTCTCTCACCGTGAGAGGGAGGAGAGAAAAGAAACTTAAAATGAAATGTTACCAGGAACAGCAGCTCTTGGGAACAGACATACAGATGCAACACCAGCATGCTGCCAAGCCCCTCACATCCGACACTGTCTGGGTCACGATTTCCTTTAAATGCCCTAAATCCTCTGTGTATCAGCAAATACCGGGCAGTGGAAGTCAGTATATAATGCTGCAGAATCTCCTGGGCTGAGGAAATGGTGAGTAAGCCAATCCACAAAAGGGAAGTTGGTTACTTTTCTCAGTAGAGGCCAAGGATAAAATGCTGTGAAGCGAATGTGATGCTCCACTCAGCCTGACAGGGTCCAAATGTGGCTGTGGTGGTATTACCAAGGGTTACACAGCTGCTTCACAGAGGTGCTCCCTAGCCAGGCCACGCTGTAGGCATTCTGATACTTCTGTTGCTGTCCTGGTTCTTCCCTTAGCTTACACTCAGGAGGGCCGATTAAGAAGTTATTTGAAGACTTTGAAGACTTTGGCACTTCTATGAAGATGCTCTCTGTGCACTGCAATCATGCTAATTCTTCTGGTAAAACACTTTCTGTACCAGAAAAGTCAAGGCTGGAGGACCTGCAGTATATCCTCTTTGACAATATATGTTGCAACCAGATCCTCTGTGGAACAATTCAGCTTGCAGGTAAACATCTTATTTTCACTTCTCAACCTCCCGCTGTCCCCCCATCAATTTGAAATAAATAAAAATCACCGTATTAGAATTTCAAGCAATGCTGAGTTCCCTTTTGGAGAGTCACACTGGGAAACATGCACTGTTTCATTGTATGACATTTTGTTCCAGCGAACAGCACCATTCTTTACTCCATCTTCTGGCCTCACCGAGGCAGCATGATATCCCAAAAAACTACCATCGTTTCCCAGAAAATCTCTACACAACATTTTTTCTCACTTGTCAGAAACTTCTCTGGCATGCACTGCCCTGTGGCTGACAAACCTGCAGCCATTGCCACTTTTATGACTACCAGTGTACAGGACAGAAGAGGGCTACAACTAACACTGCTTCAGTGCATGTGCTTCAGTTAATCTTTCCTTTCAGAAGCTGCTGGAGATTGTTGCCAGAAACACGACCTTCTCTGTTGGTCAGATTATTTACAGAGAAGGTTGGACAATCATGATGTGCTTCGTGTTTTAATCCAAAAGTTTACATTTGCTATAACCATAAAAATCAGTAATAAGTTTGCAGCTTATTTCAAATTGCTGGTTGAACACCCATATTTAAAAATTGGAACATACTCAAAATAGAGGATGCTGAGGGTGTCAGAGGCAAATCTGCTTGGCCAAATTCAACGAAGCTGGCTGAACTGAAACCAGAGGGGTTTGCCCATCCATTCTGGGAGATCTAATGCAGAAGATTCTAAAATAGATCCCGAAAGCCCCAAGGTGTTCTTTTGAGTATCTCTGAGTGAGCTAACGCTTCTGCTTCCAGCATTGCTTCATTGTTCTCAACAGCTCAGTGAAAACTGAAATGCAAAGGAACATAAGAGACACTTTTTGACTGTAATAGCCATCTCAACTGGAGTGCAGTTAATGGGAAGAAATAGGAAGGAGAGCTTTTAGTTAACAGAACTGCATTTCCCAACTCCATAGCTGCACACTTCTGATCTAAAATTTGCTCATTTGGTGCTGTCTCTAAAAATAATATTCTGTGTCACATTAACATGAGGCAGGAGAACATGCTGGGATGCTACACACTTCTCTACCAGCTAGAAAATCACTGATAGGAAGTAGAAATACCAAAATACAAAAACACTGCACTTCCGTCAGCTCTGTCTGCATGTATCCAAAGGGGAAATTACAAAGGTGTTTTCCTCTTTTTGTATACCCCTGATGTCAACTACTTAAAGTGTGTGTAAGCTATCCTAAGAGGCTGTGCCACCTGTTCCAGCTGCTGAAATTCATGCCCTAACTTATGCAATAGGAGTCTCAGTCTCTGCAGTCTCTTCTATACACTCTGCATAGAAGCCCAAGTGTAGTGACATGGCCTTTTTTTCTCAGTGTGCTTCCATAGAGACAACAAAGGTCTTCCCACTCATATTCAGGCTTCCTCACCTGTTCTGAAGACAACAGCTTATCTATTCATCTTTGCATTGTGTCTGTGGGAGGCACTGTAGTTGTCACAAGCCTCGGAGAAACCCAGGCAGCTTTGAGGGACTTACCTATCCCCAGACTAGAGATAATTTCAAGATCTTGAAAGCTACGGGCTTCTAATATTGCTTGTGGTAGCTTCAGGGTGAAGGGTAGCAAATCCCTGTAAAAAAAAGAAACATAGCAAAAAACCAGTGGAAGAATAAATCCCTCAATTGCTAGGAACTCCAGATTTCACCATTGCTTTAATGATAGAATTGGCTCATGATTTCAGTCCCATTCTGAAAGGTACTGAATGTCGCCAGAGCCCAGCAAAGAATCGTGTGCACTGTGCACTGTGCCAACCTGGGCTGCTCTGAGTGCAGAAGCACTCCCAGCTTCCACTTGCCAGCTCCTGCAATGATGCCATGTGCCCCACTGCTGGGGCTTCCTCCTCTGAAAGTAGCAAATACCATGTTAGGGGACACCACAGGGTTAATAATAACTTCCCATACAAATAGATGCAGTTTCTCAGAGGATGATAACTGGCTTTCATTAAAACGCACCTTGGATCTGAAACAATTTAGTGGAGCTTTCAGGCTGGCAGTGAACTGCTTATATTTGCCCCTTGCCCAGTGCCAATTTGCTAAACCTCTTCCTACCTCAGTTAAAAAAAAAAAAAAAAAGGTAACTATAGTCCCCATAATGTATCAATAGACCAGGGATATTCGACATAAACAGATTTTAACCCTTCTTTTTTTTTCATGACAGATACCAACAGATACCAGGTTTAAAAGAGGAAGAGGATTTCCACAGACCTTCTCCTTTCTTTGTTATTGTTGTATGCATGAGTCGTTTGTGGGTGTTTTTTGTTGTTGGTTTTTTTTTTTTTTTTGGAAAACCACATCTAAAATCAGGAAATATGAAGACATTAAGCTAATAGGAAAACAAATGTGATTTTATTTACAGGGTAGGCAGCATTCAAACAAGCCTGTTGCTTATAGGTGTAATTTTTGTGATGTAAGGTAGTTTAGTCATCACGGAAGAACAAGCCAAACATTCCTTTGGAAGGAGCCTGAGAGGCCTGATAATCTGTTTCCAGCTATTTGTAGCTGAGCGTTTACTACAGCCCTGAGAGCAGCCTCTCCACTCATTATTACGGAGAGCTTCTACAAGCTGCCAGGGAAGAGCAAGGCAGAGCCAAAGCAGTGTTTTTATTCCCTGTTTCTGTCAGGAAATGACTCCCCACTCGTCTTGTCTTTCAAAAGCACGCTAAGAAATAACTTGAACTGTCAGAATACGTATTTGGCATTCAGCAGTGACAGGAACTGATAGAAAAGCTTTTCTGGTTTTCTTGGATTCATTCTCAATCCATGATCCTCTCTGCAGGAAAGCAGAGGTGAGCAGATTCTTCCCTCCCACAGGCCATTTGAATGGAAATGCTCCATTCCTGTACGCTCCCTTGCTAAGACAAAAATCATCTGTGTGGGGCTCAGGGTACTTTCTGCCTATTCTGTAGGGTTTATATCTATCTAGATATCTAAATGACTTTTCACTGACCAGCTTGGCTCCATGGGTGCAGCAGGAGCGCTGCTCCGGCAGTAGAACATAGCTGGCTGCAGAGGCAGCCCCCAGAATAGTGCAAGTCTCTGGCTGGGTAAGCTGAGCATGCTGCATCATATCATAGATAGAGCACTGCTACTGTGTAAGCTGAACAAGACACTCACACAACTGCCCTGTAAGCATATCCTGAGTCTACTCCTCTTACACTGAAACAACTGTTTTAAGAGTTATCTAAGTCGTTTTAAGGAAGACCAAAGGATTATGTCCAGCTCAAAACCAGGCCTGCTAAAGCAGGGACAGACCAGGCAGGGTGTGCAGGTACTGCTGCAATGTGCTTGGCACAGACACGCAGATTAGATGAGCCTGCAGACACTCAGTTTTAATTACACAGAGGGACTCATCAGCTGGTGATCAAACCTTACTCTAATAAGGATGACTGCAAAGGTCTTTCTCATCTCCATACCCACTACACTTGGTATTGCACTGAGTGAGCATGCAAGGTCTGCTCTATATCACTTCACATTTTTTGGTTAAAGAACTGGATTTTTTTAGAAGAACTCTCCTTGGGAGTACCAGAAGAGGTGACTAAGTGCTTTGAGTCTCCTGTTTGAGACTCTCCAACAATCCCAGGCAGCCCACTTAGCAGGTTGGAACTCCATTATCTGTAGGGTCACTTCCAGCCTAAGCTGTTGTATTTTTCCACGAACAGTCAGCCAGCAGGCTGACCAAGTCACTGCCAGGTGCGTGTAGATGTTCCTGGCTCACCCGGGAACCTTCTGCCAGCCTGTCCTGGGCCTGGCTCCTTTACGGATGCAGCTCCATTGCCTTCTCTCAGACAGAGCTTCCAGCAAACTCATGGACAGAGGTGGTTGTGCTGTTGGAAAGGCATGTGGGCAAAGGCAATCCAGAGGGGAGAATGGAAGCAGTGAATCCAACTCACCTACTGACACAGTAGAAGGCAACCAGCTTGAAGACATCCTCGAATACAAGGACAGATCCTTCGAGATACAGGACTGATGAAAAACAAAAAAGATAGTCAGCAACTGTATTCTTTAAGCTGAAGGGTGAAGAAAGTTGGGTGGGTTTATTTCACACATCTTACACTCTGTGATTGCCCAGCCTTTGCACTGAATAATAAGGAGCGTAAGGAAGTGGCTTCAGACAGCCAAGCACAAGGGTGTTCTTTGGGGAAACACAGCCTGGTTCCCTGAATGGTTGCCTCAAGATGTTGGAGCATTGTGACAGTAACAGAAACAATGGGGAGAAACAACAGGTCACAGCCTAGTGCTTAATTACAAGTCCACTTATACCCAAGGAACTGGAGATCTTCTGTGTGTATGGGCTATCTTGCAGGTCTCCATGCTGCAATCTGTTTTGGTCTGAATAGACAAAAATGCACTGGTGTTATCTCTCCTGTCTTCTCCCTCCTTTGTGTTACATAGCAACAGCACTTTCCTCCAGGTGGCAAAATAGAACCCACAGCATGCTGCAGAGCTTCCTGAGATGACCTTCCTTGGAGAAGCACACTATGGAATTGTGCAGGCCAAATTTCACATTGTTACACAGATTTGGGCTGCTAAACTAGAAAAAAAGTTCCCTGAGCAGTGGAGAAAAGTTCACGCTGACAGATAACCCAGGGCAGGCAGAAAATGATGGATCTGCAGGCTCCATCTGCAGCACCCATCCTTGCACCTGCAACCTGTATCCTGCACTGCAGCTGCCTCGCACTGCCCTTGGCTCTGCTTCCTGGGCTGCAGCTCAGCTGTGGGCATCGACCTCAGCTGTGGTGTCAGCTTCTTCAGTGTCCATGAGTCACAGCCCTGGGACTCCTGAGCACAGTCTCCAGCTCACTGCCCTGCATGGTTACCAGTTCCTCTAAAAAGTGAGATGCCTTCAGCATCTGTGGAAGGGGAGACATTCATCTGTCTCCCACTCCACCTGTGGGTGGGCAGAGAGACACTTGTCCCACGAGCAGAGATTCCCATAGGGAGGAAATGCTCAAGCCTTGTCCCTTTTGTTCAGCCTCACAGCTCATTCCCCAAACAAGGCATTTCCTTCTTTTACTTCTCCCTTTGTCCTAGCCCAGGCCCTGTAGGTTCCCATTTTGTGCTGACTATAACAATGCAGGCATTTTTTGTAAGGCACAGTTCTCAGAAGTTGTTCTTAACACCAGTGTGTGCTGGATCAGCATGAAGGGATCAGCCTTGCTGTGAGCACTCAGACCATAGCAATGTGGGTTTTCAAATGTACTTTGGGAAAAACAATCCTTTTCCCTTACATTTCTCTCACAACTGGGAAAAAAATGCCTGGCAAGTTTTTTGGTTTTTTTTCTTTTTGGTTTAGTAAGAGACATGCTGCAGTCAGGGATTTTCATTAAACATCTACAAAAAGCAATTTCAATCGTTTGAAATACATCTGCTTTGCAGCTCTAACACAGGAAACTAAAATAAAGACAAAAAACTCAGTGCTGTTCCAGAGAACTAACCAAAACCCAAGAGTCTCTGAACTCACTCAAACTTCCAGCGATTAAAGAAAGCTCTTTGTGCAGACACCGGTTCTAAGGACTGTGTTCTGTGAAGAACCACATGTTCACTTTGGCATCCCAAGTTGCAGGTGGATGTAAGCTGCACCTGTTTGTGTTTACAAACATGAGCAGATTGTTCAGATTTGGACCAGTGATTGTTTCTGTGCCAGAAAACTGTCATTTAGGAGCCTGAATTTTAACCAAAAGATTAGATCAAGCCCCTCAGCGACTGAGGAGCATCCACATAAAAATGCCTTGTCACTTTACTGTTACAACTTCTTCCATATTTAGTTAAACAGCACTAAACACCACTAATGACCAGGCACTATACAGCCAAAGCAGCCTAATGATAAAAGAATTCATGGTACAGAGACCCAAAGGGCTCTTCTAACTGCTGGGCACAGACTCAGGGCTCCCTGTGGAGAGGATAGGCAGGGAGGTGTTGGTGCTTTTCACTGGCTGAGGACACACTGTGAGGAGCTGGGAATGCTTCTCTGACATGAGCACTGCTGCTTAGGGAGGAATCATGGCACTATCACGTAAAGGAACTTAGGACTTTTGCCAAAGCTACAAGCAGCCACTTTTCTGCTAGCCTGGTGTAATCCTGCTGAAAGCTGCAGGCACAAAATTCATCCTTCTTGGGCTCACAAAATACACCCAGAGCACACAAAGAACAAAAAAACCTCTACCACTCACCAAGCGGCAAGATGACAAGAACATGATGAAAGCAATAGCAAACAGAGGGTGGGTTCAGTGAGCCAGACGTTCACAATCTTAGAATGGCTTAGGTTGGAAGGGACCTTAATGATAATTGAGTTCCCACTTCCTGCCGTGGGCTGGCTGCCTGCCCACCAGCTCAGGCTGCCCACGGCCCCATCCAACCTGGCCTTCAACACCTCCAGGGATTGGGCATCCACAGCTAACCTGGGCAGCCTGTGCCGCTGCCTCATCACTCTCTGAGAGAAGAGTTTCCTCCTAACATCTAGCCCACATCTCCTCTCTTATAGTTTCAAGACATTCTCCCTTGTCCTGTCACAATTTGATTATGTAAAAAATTGCTCACCTTTCTGCTTATAAGCTCTCATCAAGTACTGGAATGTCTCAGTGAGGTCTCCCCAGAGTCTTTTCTTCTTCAAGCTAAACAAGCCCAGCTCCCTTAGTCTTTCTTCAGAGGAGAGATGCTCCAGCCCTTGTCAAGGGATTTTAAATTCTACCTACTTAGAAGCACACTGAAAGAAGTCACCTCCAGGAAAACAAAGATGAAATATGGAGATGAGTGTTCAGTTTTGAGTAGGCAAAAATAAAGTTATGACAATGGTAATATCTTGGGGGTGATGAAAGCATTAATAGCATACATTAATGTTTCTTTGTTGACTCTGCTCTGTTTTCTGCTCTTTGCTTACTCAGTAAGTAAGCAGGACAAGGCCAGGTTATGAACTGCTATAAATAGTTGTGACTGATTCATCTTTCCTTTCACTTCACCAGCATACTCTTTAGAATGTCACCTTTTTACACTGACTAGAATTTGTCCACAAGTTTATTTTTCTTGTTAGCTCCCCATCATTTCTCTGTTGAGATGATGTTTTTGAGTCATACTGTCCCTGGGCATTCTGCCTTCCTCTTCCCTTTGATTTTTCCCTGCAGATTTGCATTTGCCAGTCCCGTTGTTCTGGTCACATGGACAATTTCCTCTCTTCTTACTGCTTATGCAGGCTCATGGGACCCAATTACCTCTGCTTCTTCTTCTCTAATGGAGCTCTTAGTCCCATTCACTGCTTTTGATTTCTGTGTAACCCTTCAGAGGCATCTGAATTCAAAGATTTGAGTTCCATATTTAATAGCAGTTGTGTTGACATGTGCTGACATGGGACTGCTGAGAACACAACTGTCTCTGAAGTCTTGCCTCCATGTGCTTGAGATCTATCTCTTATTTTTCCAGATTCTGGAAACTATGAGATTTGCTATCATGGGAATGATTCCATATTTTAATCACTCTTCTAAAATTTAAGATGATAACTCCACAGTCTTTTAACCATACCTCTCACTGGTGTTTCCTTTGATGTCCCTTGCTTGATGCCCTTGTTGCCATGTCATGCCTTGCACTGACTTGGCAACAAACAACTCTGGCTGGCTTTCCTGCTTGTCCTGCTGCCTTCAACCCTTCTCCTCCTTCTGGGAACACAGGATCACTCCAAGGCAGAGGGTACCAACCATCCTTCCAGACTCTGATGTTCCTGTGCCTCCAGGGTAAGTCATAAACATGGCTGGTGGCAGGAGCAGATGCACAGACCCTTGCAGAACTGTCTTGCTTTACTGAAATAAAGCATGACATAACAACTTCACATCATTTCTCTGGCTCCCTGAGACTTTCTGTCTCTTATTCATGCACTAGGTGGTGGTGGTATTAAGTGAAAGAGTTTTAGCTAGAGGGCAGAACATTTAGATTACATTGGCAGAAGTTACGGTGTTCATGATGTCTTTCTGCAACAGCTCTGTCTGCAAGTTCCTTTTTGTGTCCCTGACACTGCTTCTTGTTTTAATTTTTGAAGACTTTCTCATAGGTAGCATGTGATCTGTTTTCTTGAAGGCACTGTCAATACTTATCTGTTTCAAGGCCTTTTCATCTTCACTGCTTCTTTCATTTTTTCCATGTCTAAGATGCATTCTTTTCTCTGTTACACAGTTCTAGACTGTCTTGTGCAACCCAGACCTAATTTGTCTTTCTTGTCTTTCCTAGTAACTCCTTCATGAAGCTGTTGGCTGTTTTTCTGTCTTGCTGTGTTTTCTTTTTTTTTTTCCTCAACAAGAAAGAGCAGAAACTTCACTGTTTTGGACTTCTTCCAGAGTCTTCTGTTGTGCATCCAACTAATGCTTTCTCATAGGATTACAATGTTATGGTATCCTACAGAGTTTAATCTATTTTGGCCATGATGGAAAAACTCACTGCTGGTGGCAGTTCCTGTGAAATTGAAGCTAATGAATTATGAAAATGATAAAGTGTTAATGAGCTTGGGTCCAGAGTCTAAGAACAATCTGCCTTTCAACTTTGTTCCTCACAAGATATAACTGTAAGAATCAGAATGAAATTTTGAATATGCAGTGCAAAAAAAAAAGAAGGTGTGAAATGCAGGCCTCCACAGTTTTCTCACACCAAAGCTGAATGGAGTGAAGGGGATGCTTTGCAAAGTGCACAGTTTCACTGCATACTATTGCTAAGAAAATGGACTGTCCTCACACACAGCCACAGGGGTCTTGGCTGCATTATGCTTTGACTCATCCATATTCCCCCAAGCATAGGGGCAGTACCTTGGTGCACACCTGGATTTTATGCCTTGAGTTCAGCATAAACTGCTGCTGCTGTCTAGACTTACTGTCTCTGGTTGCAGGATCTTTGAGCAGAAATGTGCTATGGCCTTTTAGCTGTTTCCTCCTTATTGTGAAATGTATTTCAGCAGGAGCTGAGAGCATATTTCAGACCCTCAAGGGCAC